TAAGTTTCTGCTTGAAAGATTCAATGGTTGGTGCACAAACGATGTGAGATGGAAGGACGTTCCAAGTTCTGCAAACTCTGACTGCAAAAGACTTTCACCGGCATTCCTGTCGACACTTTGGAATCAGTAACGGTGTCCCCAAAGGTGTACATTGTTCGATAACATGAGCAGCTGCCGACATAGATAGTTTAGGTTTTGCATTAAATGATACGTCGAAACCAACTCTCTCCGAATTCGGCGGTACCGATCCGGATATAGTCCCAATGATTGCACTTTATCCAAGAGGGTTAGGTAGTTCAAGCCCTCGACCATTTTGGTGATAATACTTTATGGACGCTCCACCATCTTACGATTACGTCAAAACCAGGAACTATTCTTCGATGGACCGCGGGAAATCAGTTTGGAATGGCTTTTGACAAGTGATGCTCCAGGATTCTTGGTGCCCCCCGGCTTCCTTGAAAAAAACCTTCACGAATGCCTCCTTTCTAGCCATTTTTGGTCATAAATCGTTTGATTTCGATTCAAGATGTCCTCGAATGAAGGCTTCTGGGTAGCCTTTTCTCTACAGGATATCTCTTATGTGTGCGTCATCTCGTCATTCAGGGTCCCCGGAATACAGACTCTATTCTGGCTGTAAGCTAGACAATTCATGCAATTCCGTTTTTATTTCAATGGGACGAAACTTTGACAATGTCTGTTTCGTTCAAAAGCGTAGGCAGCGTCCATGCGCGGATTTGAATCCCATTGGAGCTTTTCACAATCGACCTACAAATGTGTGTACAGTCCTATCCACATGCAATTACGATATACACTTCCTTCGATATGGCTATCCAATAAATCAACTGTGTCTAATCGAGGTTTCTAAGATGGTGAATAGTCATTCAGGGACTAATTCTGATAATCTACTCCAAATAACTGCTCTAAGTGGCACGCGAGGGCACAGTTCGATGCCTAAGCCTAGCCTAATAAGGCTGGATATGCGTGCCTAACAGATTCTGTACTATTGTTTGTTTGAAAACGCAATCTCC